CATTTAAGCTCACGCCTACTGCTTCAGTGACTCCATCCAGCCACCTCATTCTCTGTCGTCCCCTTCTTCTATTGCCCTCAATCTTTCCCAGCATTAGGCTCTTCTCCAGTGAGTCCTTCCTTCTCATTAGATGGCCAAAGTACTTGAGTTTCAACTTCAGGATCTGGCCTTCTAAAGAGCAGTCAGGGTTGATCTCCTCCAGGACTGACTGGTTTGATCGCCTTGCAGTCCAGGGGACTCGCCGGAGTCTTCTCCAGCACCATAGTTCAAAGGCCTCCATTCTTTGGCGCTCAGCCTTTCTTAGGGTCCAACTTTCACAGCCATACATTGCAACTGGGAAAACCATGGCCTTGACTATACGGACTTTTGTTGGCAGGGTGATGTCTCTGCTTTTTAGTATGCTGTCTAGATTTGCCATAGCTTTCCTCCCCAGGAGCAAGCATCTTTTAATTTCTTGGCTGCAGTCCCCATCTGTGGTGATCTTGGAGCCCAGGAAGATGCTGCATATCCAATCAAGTAAATTATATATTCTTTCACTCTTATAAGTGCCCCTCCCCAAAAGTCTTAATACAAAATAGCTGGAGGACTTAGCAAGGATGAAGTGGAGCACCCACTGCTGTTCAGAGAAGAAATATCAAAGAAAAAGCACAAGGTAGACACCTGAAGACAGGTAAAACTAGTCAGCAAGTTGTACCTGAAGAGAGCCAACAAGCACATTCTAAAGCAATGTTTGGGGGGGGGGGGTTATGAGCACCTGTTTTAAAATCTAATTCATCACCATATGAGAACAACCACAGGGACATGTTTTGTTCATTTGTTTATATGGTGGGTATACCATGCTGCTTTGATTTCTTCTTTTTCTTTTTCTTCTTCTTCTGTTTTGACTTCAGATCTTTCTCCTTCCTCTCTTTTTTCTCCTTCTCCTTCTTTTTACCTGCCATTTAAAAAGGGTAAAAGTCATTTAAATGAAGGATAGTTTAAATCTAAAAGAATCCAAATCACTTAAAACAATTGTCACCTAGTATCAATATTCTGCCTAGGAGGGGGGAAAAAGAAAATTGATCAAGTGGAGAAATAAGTGGTAAGCAAATATTAATTTTAAGCACTGGAGGTGCTGGGAAAAGAAGGAAAATTTGAAAGAACCAATTTTAAACTAGGAACTAAGATTTATAGGCCAGTAAAATATAGCAAAGTACGAAAAGAGCCCGATTTATATATAACACTCAGCTCTAATGTGATTTGTTCGTTTTTCTCAGCATCTTGTATGTCTGCACAAAACTGGAACTTTTTAAGAATGTCAGAGTGAACGAACGCAAAGCGAAAGACATAATTTCAATGGCATTTGGGCATCAAAAAGTACAAGTCTGTTAGCTAGTAATCACATTCGTTTAGCACCTGATCCAATTTTAGAATTACAAAATAATCTCAGTCCTTGTTTTTCCCTTTAACAAATATGAATCAACCCCTCAAAAATATTGAAAAAACAAAACTATCAGATCATGTCCCCAATAATTAAAAACAGGGTATCGTCATTTGTAAGTGATACATATTTTAAAAAAGATAAAAAAAGATTACCATGAAAGTTCTTAATTTTATGCTCATACCAAGTAAAGATGAGGATCTCTCTTCCAATTTTGATTTCCTCTCAATTTTCAGTGTTCCTGTAGAGTCAAAGATGGTACAGATGTATCTAAATTTTAGCCATATTATTTCCCAAAAATTTAGTTTTTGTTCAGTTTGTTTTTTATGGAAAGATTGGTGATGATTCCTGAACCCATTAAGACATACTTTCATGATTTGAGTTTAAACAACAATCCAAACCACAAAATATAGTGTATAAATCAAGTTGTGTGAAATCATACAGCATGTTAAGCCCAAACTATCTTTTACATATGAACCTAACCTGTATGTTTTGAGTAGCTCATTTATACATCTTGGACTTGAAAGATTGGCAGTGTTCATTAACCTTAGGAAAATCTACATAAAATCAAGGGCCAAAAAGATTAAAAACAGTCTATGGACTGTTACTTCCACATAGAATTGAATGCAGTAGCAGGATGAAGGCTAGCTACAATAGAGTTGTCCAATCTCAATTATAATTACAAATTAAAATAACTATCCTTTTCTTACATAGCCATATACAAGGATTTGGCACCAATATCCTCTCAAACTCTTTCTGTTTCCTGGGAAATAAACAGGACATATATAGAGGTTTGCAAACAAACATGAAAACACACGTTTTCTAGATATGCATAGAACAGTGGTTCTCAACCTTTTTAATGCCGCGACCCCAACCGGTCGTAAGTCGAGGACTAAACCGGTTGTAAGTCGAGGACTAAACCGGTCGTAAGTCGAGGACTACCCAACTGGTTGTAAGTCGAGGACTTTCCCTGCCCGGGAGCGCCACGCATGCGTGGTTCCGCCCCCTGCGCCGGCCGAGGCGTAGCTGGCAAGCGGCACAGACGGAGCAGGCCGACCACCAGCTGGCCCAGCCCAAGGGAGGTAAGGCACACGCCGGAAAAGGGGGAAAAAAATGGCGTACAAAAAAAATGGTGGACAGCCTTGCTTGGCGACCCCCATGAAATGGTCGATCGACCCCAAATGGGGTCCCAACCCACAGGTTGAGAACCACTGGCGTAGAAGCATAGACAGAAACACAGAGAGACCCGCAGTTCCCTGTAAATGCGAATGCATATTTAATATTCTTGAAAAAGATTGATAAGACATTTTACCTGGGACCACCGGAGCTACTCTGCCATCCATTCCTGCTCTGGAAAGATGGCATCTAATAATCTGGTTCTCCTGATTGGTCTGTTTGCTATAGCGGACAGCGTCCCCAGTGAACAGGGCTGAAACATCCAAGTTACTGCTTAAGTCAAGAGGAAGACTTAGTCCATGCTTCTCAAGGGATACATGAGCAACATTGGGAACTACACAAAAGAAAGAATGCAGTATTAACAGATGAGCATTGGGTTCTAGGCGTTGTTAAGTTATACCCCTAGGGTGGCAAAGGCCTTCTTGACTAACCAGAAGCTCTTGTTAAAAAGACGTCTTGTGAAGGCTTTATTTTAAAATGCTTGATTTCTCTCAGCTTCTGTATTAACAGGGAAATACATTACCCTCCAGTGATCAGCCTGGGTTCATTTGGGGCATGGATGGAGAACCCTTTACCATCAATGACTGGAGAGAGAGAGAGAGAGAAGTATTCTTTTTCTAGAAAATCGTGAAACAATGAATCAGTTGCTAAGTGCTGTAATCTTCATCTCCGGTGGCTATTTTTTGAAGGATCTAAGGATATTCGCTGGTTAAAAAGAGACTTTGCGATGTTCATGAAGCAGACACAACCATCAGGCAGTTGTTTCCAATAGTTCTCATCTACCCATAATTCACACCTTTAAAAACAAAAATAGGTGATGGGAAGGATAAAACTAACTGGGACTAACCATGGGCATAAGAGCAACCACTAAAATTTGTGTTAAAATAAGATTGTCTGAAGCAGGTTTGACCCAAAAAGCCACTAGCTTTAACACATCTAATCTAGTTGGCTTATGTAATGTCGTGTCTTTTTAACTCATGAATAAAACTGCAGGATGTTAAAAAACAATGCATACCCTGTTTACCAGCATATCAATTCAAGGACAGAATGATACACATCCAGACCCAAAACTGTTTTAATACTTAAAAAATACTATGTATGCTGAATATTTTCCTTGGAACCATAGTGCTTCCAGAAGCATCGTGCAGAGAACGTCAATCGTTCATTTTGCTGACAGACTGTAGACAGTCTAGTCTCTTAGCGGTCAATAAGGATATCACTGTTATATTTTTTAAATCTATATTATAGGCATTAAGTTTAAAAATTGTTTATCAATTATTGTTAGATTGCATTCAGTATTTATTTTGATGAATTGCCTACAAACTGCTTTGGTATTTAGCTATAACAAATTAAGACATTAGCTATAATCTGACATGAGATAAATGCATGATTGTCTATAGCTTTTAAGCAAACTGGCATCCTTTGCATGGCATAAATCATTATCAGGAAAAATCAATTACTAGATTGCTGGCTATGATGTTTTAATAGTTGGTCCGTTGCTGCATAGCTGTGAACTGTTGCAACATTTAATACCTACTAAATTTTTTGATATGGTCTTGTAATCTTGTATTTGTGGGTAAGTGAAATTTATTTATGCAATTATTCATAAGTTCTTTCCCCATAGAGACAATAAGTTGTCCTCTTTCAGCACACTTCTAGAATTTGTCTATGGGGAGAAAGAAATTATGATTGTGATTAACAGTTTCATCCAGGCAAAATTAAACATTACAAAATCACATTAATTTCAGTGAAAAAGTGCTCGACCCTTCTGTTAAATATAATTGGACTTCAAGGTTTTGGACAGACTGAAACCAATGTAGTTAATTTTCATGCATGTGCAATCATGAAAATCACTTCAGAGGTGTACCTTACAACCCCTAATTACTGAAGCTGAGGTATTTTATTATTTAAAGGGGCATGCAGAAAATTCCACTTCAAACTGTTTGAAGTTTAAAGCACTTGCAAAGCACTCCAAATAAAAAAAGTTTTTTTTTTCCCCTCAATGAAAGATGGTCCATAAAGTTCCACACTAAAAACTATTTAAATGTTATCTTGGCTTCAAAACAAAAAACAAACAAAAAATAAATTTAAAAAATGGAAAAAGAAGTAGAAGCCATCCAAAGCAACAGTTTTAATTATTAAATGGAGGTGGGTTTTTTTTCTTAATTGCTCCCTTTTCCTATTTAAAATAGACTCAAATCATTCTCAGCAAAGGTGACTTACAGATTTATGTGACATTGTATCTACTGGAGATGTAATGATTAATTAATGTTTTCTCCTATTTTTTCGGGATAATTTTTGTTTAGGTTAGCCCAGGGGTAGGCAACCTTGGCTCTTTTATGACTCCTGGACTTCAACTCCCAGAATTCCTGAGCCAGCCATGCTGAGGGAAAAGGGAGAGGTTTCCAAGCTAAGCCATGCTGGCTCAGGAATTCTGGGAGTTGAAGTCCACGAGTCATAAAGCAGCCTAAGCCTAGGCCAGGGGTAGGCAACCTTGGCTCTTTTATGACTCCTGGACTTCAATTCCCAGAATTCCTGAGCCAGCCATGCTGAGGGAAAAGGGAGAGGTTTCCAAGCTAAGCCATGCTGGCTCAGGAATTCTGGGAGTTGAAGTCCACAAGTCATAAAAGAGCCAAGGTTGCCTACCCCTGGGTTAGCCATTTCTTATTCCCTGCCCTGTTAAATGAAAATATTCTCTCCAAATCAATTGGATTTGTACATACTACTGTTTGGGTCATATCCTGAGTTTCTTTTGGGTCATATCCTGAGTTTCAGTGCATGCCAATTATAAGACAGCCCAAAGAAACAGCTCTTCTGATTCTTCGTTTTACCATTTTTCAGGAGAAAAAAAAAAAAAAAAGGTTTAGGCTGCTATTTCACAAAAATAAAAACATCTCCCCTCCCAACATTTTTTTTTTAAATCTATAGGTGAGAGAGGATTAAACCTTTGGACAAGGAAAAGTGTGCTGAAATTGGACACAAGGGAACAAAAAAACCAAATCTTCTTTTTTGTTGATGTTGAACATGCTTAGACATCTTCTAAAATGGTAGACATTTCAACTGATAACATTCCTGGATCTCATCTCAGAAAACAACTTTGGAATCTTTATCTCAAACGTGGGATACACTGCTTCCTGTTAACCAGCAATGGAGAAAATAAAGAGTTGGCTTGTCATAGCAGGAGAATATAGGATGGGCTACAAAAACATAGGAAAAGCCCTCCTTCTTCTAAGAATGTAATCACCAATGGCTTTGCTGTTCTGTGCAGTTTGAGACACTGTTGTCACTGCAGAGAAGAATTCTGCCCTGCAATTTTATACTTTGTGCTCCACAGGAACAAAACCAAAAAACAGTCTTGAGTCAGTCACCTGGTATAATTTGAAAAAAAAAATGAAGGGGAAGAGAGGAGAAATAGGAGAGAGATGGGAGAGGAAAGAGAGAAGATTCAGGCAACGGGACAAGGAAATCTTTGCAAATTGGAAGAGCGGTTGGTTGTTTTAAATTTTCTTCTTTTCCTCCGAGGTTAACGGTACAAGAAATCTCTTATGTTCTTGCATTTTCTTTTCTTTTTTTTTCTGGTGAATTGAATTATAATACTGTTAAGACTCCATGACATACCTTCCTTGAAGTCCTGCTTCTTTCTTTCCTTTTCTTTTTTTTTTTTTTCCAAAAATCTACTCATGATCAACAAGCCATATTCAAACAAAACAACCACCCACCCACCAATGATGACTTCTCAATTAAGGTTATGTTTTAAAATGTCTGTGCTCACTAGTTTTATTTATCCCAGAAGAAGGAAGCTGGGAGATCAGGGTCAAATCCTCCACTTGTATTAATTCTGGGGAAATTGGCGTTTTAAGGGGCTT